TTACAATAGTAATTAATTTTCAACATGAATTTTGGAGGGCATAAATATTCAAACCATACCAGTATGTAAAAAGTTTGTATAATTTAGTAAATACTGCGTAATGATAAGATGGTAATGATTAACACTGAAAACAATTAAGGTAACAAGATTTTAGTATTTTATACACAACAATTTCAAAGAGACTCTCTGCCAGTGCATTTGCTAACCTTTTTTTTTTTTTCCATATAAGCTCATGGCAGTCAGCCAACAATATTTATATTAACATAAATTTTATTTTTATTTATTTTTTATTTTTTTTATTTGGTTGGTATCTTTCTTTTTTTTTATTTCGGCATATTATGGGGGTACAGATTTTAAGATTTCAATAAATGCCCATTTCCCCCCCTCCTCCCACAAGTCTGAGTCTCCATCATGACCATCTCCCAGATGGTGCACATCTCACTCATTATGTATGTATATGCCTGCCCCCTCCCCCCTCCCACCTGCCCAATACCCTATTACTGTAGTACCTATGTGTCCACTTAGGTGCTACTCAGTTTTTGAAATGAAAGAAGCCATTGAATATTTACCTGCATTTTTATGGTAACAAATTATATAAATAAGTAAAATTCCAAGTATAGGTGTCTAGTAGGGGACAAGTTGACATTTCAACTTAATATACTTCATACACCTGTAGGCATGCAATTAACTGCTCTCTTGTGCCTAATTAGTGAACATACAGTACTAAGTATGAAAATCTGGAAGCACTAGGAGTGGGCAAAAATCAAAATTTCTCATCTAGAAATTTCCACAAAAGCTTGTTCTCTTGGTAATGTCTTTTCTTTGCACTTTGAAAATAAAATAATATAATAATTGAAAATAAAATAAAATAATATCTATTTGTTAAACAATGTGAATATCAGAATATCAGGGCCCTAAGCTTAAGAAAAATATCACATGGACCTAAATTATCTGTGTATCCAAGTTGTTTACCAGTTTATATAATATGCCTTTAGGTACCATAAGAAGGAGTATAGCATAGTGGTTAGACATGTAGGCTCTGAAGGTGGAAAGCCTGATTGAAAAACTAGCTACACCATTTTCTAACTATATGAATTTGGGCAGAGGCCCTTATATTAATTTCCTATGGCTGCTGCAATGAGTTGCCACAAATTTAGTGTATGACAACAACAAAAATTTATGCTCTCATAGTTCTGGAGGCTGGAGGTCTGATATCGGTGTCACTGGGCTGAAATCAAGGTGTTGGCAGGGCTGCATTCCTTTATGGAGGCTCTAGGGAAGAATCTGTTGTTTTACTCCTCCAACTTCACTTGTGGCTACATCACTCAACCTCTACTTTGTGGTTACATTGTCTTCTTTGTTTCAAAACTGTCTCTGCCTCCCTCTTATAAGGAAACCTGTGATTGAATTTAGAGTCTATGTACATAATATAAAATAATCTCCCATTCTCAAGATTTTTGATATCCTAATCCCATCTACAAAGACCCTGTTTCCATATAAGATCACATTTACAAATTCCAGGGATTAGAACCTGACATTTTTGGTGCTGGTGGAGGTAGGGTGTTCAGACTACCATAGCACTTAAAAATTTCTGATGCTTTATTCTGTTCATCTCTACAATGGTGATGATAATAACACCCACTTCATAGGTCCGTGAAGAAAATTAAAAGAATACAATAATTTACATAAGTTTTTCTAGCCATAGGTTCCAGGTGTATATTAATATTACTTGCTATTACCACAACACAAAGCCCCCATTCCAGGTTAATTTTAAAAACAGAGCATATTATGAACCAAGTTTATATAACCATTATGACTAAACACAATACAGGAGCTAAAATATGAGAGATGAAGAAGTAAAATGGTATTGTTTGAGTATCCCTTAAAATTCTGAACACAGTTGCCTGTTCCTCCTAAATTATAATGAATTCAGGGGCTAATAGTAAAAACAGTGGGCATAATATATGCCCAATAGATATACATATATATTTGCATAATATATATATATATATATATATGCATAATATATTTTTCTCCTGGCTAAAAATACCACCGGCAAATGTGTATCCAATGGAGTGGGGAACCTTGCATCTCTAGTGTCTGGATTTTTATAATTAAGTTTTTAATTTTAGAATCATTTCATTTTAAATTTACAGAAAAGTTGCAATGATAGTGCAAAAGGTTCCAATATATACCATATCTAGTCCCCACTATTGTTAACATCTTATGTTGCTATATATATTTGTAACAACTAATGAAACCATTTTGATGTGTTGTTATAATACCTAAAATGCATACATTATTTGATTTTTTAAAGATTTTAGGTAATTTCCTTTTCTATGTTCCAGAATCCCATCCAGCATAATACATTATATTTAGTAATCATGTATGTTTAGGCTTGTCCACACTGTGACAGTTTCTCAGACTTTCCTTGTTTTTATGATCTTGATGGGTTCTTTTTGTTATATTTTATAGTCTATAAAGTATTTTTCTATTTATTATATCATGTAGTCTTCACTTTTCTTAAGGTAAAATTATCATTATACCTACCTTACAGTTGAGAAAACCATGGCTGGAAGAAATTAAGTAAACTATGGATCATTTAATAAGTACATAAATAATTATTACTTCAATCATAATATTAAGAACCAATGCTCTTAAAAGAAAATACAAAGAGACCAATATCTACATTAAGTCTGTAAGCTTTTAAAACACATAATTCAATTAAATGTTCAGGAATAATAGCCCAATAAAGAAATGATATATATCTAGCAACTAATTAAACCTTCTATTGGGTGATTACTTAATTTTGTTTCATAGTCAATCTATTAGGCTTTTAAGGACAAGTTCTCAAAGATGGAAGCCAAATAAACTCAATTTTCAAGAAACTAGCCTACTGAGATTTCATTTCTTAAGTAGAAATTTGTTTTGTATTATATAATAGGAATATTGCATCTCTGGAAATTATGATATTATGGAAAGGGAATTTAGAATAGATGAAATTCAGAAAGTATATAAAACTTGGCTTCCTAAGTGTTATAAAAATATAAATTAAAATATACTGTGCATTCAGCTCTAATATTCTTTTTTGTTATGGGTGCATAATAGGTGTATATATTTATAGGGTACATGTGATGTTTTGATACAGGCATACAATGTTAATTAATCAAACCAGAGCAATTGTGGTATCCATCACCTCAGGCATTTATCATTTCTTTGTGTGAAAGATATGAAAGATAATATAATTAAAAGGATGAATAGGGTTTTTTGCCCTTTTTAATATATTTTTATTTGTTTTTCTGTCTCTATTTTATTTTATTTTTATTGCAGAATATTATGGGGGTACAAACAATTTGGTTACATAAATTGCCTTTGCACTGCCTGAGTCAGAGCTACAAGTGTGTCCATCCCTCAGATAGCACGCACTGCACCTGTTTGGTGTGAGCTTATCCATCCCTTCCTCCCCTCTCCCACCTGCCTGACACGAAAGAATAGGTATTTTTCGTTCCAGCCATGTGAATAGTTTTGTAAATCAAAGCTAGAGATTATACTGATACCTCAACTTTCTTGCCAGAGAAAATACTTGGCGGCATATATTTTGCATTAATATTATATTTTCACCTTTATACCCATGCTTACACATATATACATGAAAATGAGCAATTTAATCTTTTGTAGCACTCAAATGACTACAAGATGTGTGATTATATAACTCATGTCTCTCTTATTCCTATACTGTAATCTCCACAATGTCAGAGAAGAGTCCCCATTTTTTAAAACCTTATATGAATTGCCATTGCTTTGAACAGTGCCAAACCATACTAAACACACAATAACTGTTGAATGAATAAGCACTTATGATCATTAATGAAATGCCATCTAATATACTCTTTGAGTCTTTTACTTTAATTGAATTTTTAAAACATCTACTGTTTGTTTTAATTTTCTTACCTAACCCTGAAATATCTTCTGTTCAAGTAGTTCCTTAGTGAACTCTTCTAATGTTCTTATCGCAGATAAGATGTCAGGAAATGAAGATAGAAGTTTTGAATACTGATTGTAAATGTATAGTCTTTTCAAGTACTTACTCAGTTTGTACTGAATTTGACAAACATATCCAATGTACTGAAATTTGAAGGAAAACAAGTGACCAAGCATTCAAAATTGCATATTTCTTGACCAAATTTTAATCAAGCTTCACCCCACCCCAAAGGCTCTTGAACTTTGCTCCATGTCTGAATAGGCATTAAAAATGGAGAACATACTCCTTTAACAGAGTGTGATGCTTAATTTTATGTGTCAACTTGGCTGTGCCATAGTGCCAAGATATTTAATCAAACATTATTCTGAATGTTTCCATGAAGGTTTTTTTTGTGTGTGAGTGTGTGTATGGGGGTGAGATTAACATTTAAATCTGTGTACTTTGAGTAAAGCAGATTACTCTCCATAATGTGGGTGGGCCACATCTAATCAGTTGAAGGTGTTAATGGAGCAAAAACTGACCTCCCCAGAATAAGAAACAATTTTGTCAGCAGATTCAGATGGCAACTCTTTCATGGATCTCCAGCTCGTCAAACTAACCTGCAGATTTTAGACTTATCAAGCCTGCACAATTATGATAGATAGTTATATATACGTATTATTATATATATATGTATATATATATAATGTATATGTATATGTATACACACACACACACACACACACACACACACACACACATACAGCCTGTTGGTTCTGTCTGGATAACCCTAAGACACAGTGTATCCTAAGAATTGAAATGGGCTGACCACAGTAAGAAACATTTTTTATCAGACCACCCTGAATATGCTCCCTGCCCACTCCCAATCTTTTGACTATTTTCCTTTCAAAATTTCCTGCTAGGCCTGCTCATCTCTCCCTATAAATCAAAGACTTTTTATGGTTGATTATAAGCTACTTGCAGATCCTGAGTTCATAGTGTTTGCCTATTGCAACAGTATTATTATTTTTTTTAGTTTAAGCAAAAACTCTTTAATTTGAAGAAAAGGGTACAACTTCTCATTTTCTATTCTCAGCATAAATTTTAATTTTTTCCAGTAGAACCAAAACCTCCTGAACTCCTGTCAGTGTCATCCAAAACTTGAACTTCTTCTGTTTCTGGATAAAAAATCCGTTCACAAATGAGCTGCGCAATCCGATCACCTTTTTTGACTTCAAACTTCTCTTTGCCAAAATTAGACAGCACAACACCAACATTTCCTCTATAATCTTCATCTATGACACCAGCTCCTATATCTATAAAATGTTTGGCAGCCAAGCCAGAACGTGGAGCTACTCTTCCGTAAAACCCAGAAGGAAGAGCTATCTGAATGTCTGTCTTCACAACCCCTTTCTCCATAGATGGTATTGTGTAATCATAGGCACTGTACAGGTCATAGCCCGCAACCCGTACGGACCCCTGGGTCGGGGTCGGGGCCGTGACGTGCTCTGAGAGCCCCGCAAAGTGGAGCTGCATGCCGCCCTCCTCCGCGAGCGGGGCCCGCTTGCTGGGGGACACAATAGCAGTCTCTTCAGAGCAGGGCATGGCGGAGCGAGAATGAATGGAAAAGCAATGGAGAGACCACAGCATTTTTGCAACAGTATTTTTGAAAAAGTTTCTTCCTGCCTAAGCTTGGGTTTGTTTTACAAGAAACTGTGAACCAAGAATGAGAAGATTAGAATCTAAAAATTGAAATGAGTTTAGGATAAGTTATGGATAAATGCAATTGAACACCACCAACAACAAAAGGTCAGAAAAAACAATTGATGATGGGAATACAAATAAACTTAAGATAGATTTACCTGAAAAATAAGATAATAGATAAAATGATAAAAACAACTAAGATAAAGAATTTAAAATAGTTGTTTCTTGGTAAGTGTAATTTTTGCCCCCTAAATAAGCATAATATATAGTCATCGAGGACTAGCCCAAAGGAATATATGTTTAGATTATACAGCAATTCCCCTTTATACATGGGGGATAGTTCCAAGACCCACAGTGGATACCTCAAACCATGGATAGTACCAAACCCTATATATACTATGTTTTCCCTGTACATACATAATTATGATAAAATTGAATTTGTAAGTTAGGCATAGTAAAAGATTAATAATAACTAATAATAAAATATAACAATTACAACAATATACTATAATAAAGGTATGTGAATGTGGTCTCTCTCACTCTTTCTCAAAATATCTTATTGTAGTGTACTCACCTGTTTTTGGACCATGGTTGACCATAGGTAACTAAAACTGCCAAACGCAAAACCATGGATAAGGGAGAACAACTATATTTAGAAAATTATTCTTAAGATCATTTACTGAATATATTCATAATTTTCTTTATAATAGAAACATACAGTAATGGACTCATTAACCTACTGATGAATATCTTAATCTTAGTATGCTCAGTGGAATTAAAGTGGAATCTCTGAAAAATTTTGGGAAGATCATTCTATACTTAAGGTAGAAAAAAAAATAACTAGAGAAAGTCTTTTTACCCTTATGCTTCACCCAGCAAAATATTTTGAATTTCTTTAGACAAAAAATAATATAAAAACACATTTTAAATACATTCCATTTACTATCTTGCAGTTTATAAGTGGAATGGAAGAAAAGCTGCAATAATTGTGCAAAAGATAGGAAGGAACTTTTCTACAGTATATAGACATAGTGATTTCTTATACCACAGCTAGCCTACCATACAAATGTTCCCAACTTCCAATAGACGTTACTTAGATAAGAATGGATGCATCCTAGGAAGGAATGCCATGCTGAAAACTACCCTCAGGAGAATATTTGATTTGGACTTGTTAACAATTTTTAACAAGTCCATTTCAAGAATGTAGTAAAAGAAAAGTGCAGCATTAAACACATTAATTAGTTTTCTTGTGTTTTTCAGTGAGGGCAAAATGTCAGACACATATAGTAATTAGAAGAGAGTTTTAATTTTTCATTAACTCTAATTAATGTTGACTCTCCATGTTTCATTAGCATTACTTCTGCTGACTAGGGAACTTATTAAAAGTACAGGAAGGATTATCAGTCTACACAAGATAATGTATTCCATGTGTGGGAGGAGGGGTGATACTTTTAATATATTTTACTCTAGAATCAAGTGACATTCAATTATTTCAGCCACAGGAAAATTTTAGGGAGGGTCAGGGAAAAACTTGGGAAGCAATTGTCTCCTGGTCTCAATATTGGGAGTCATCGCTATCATTTACTTTATTATCTATGTAATGCCTTGTACTTACTGAAAAATCCACCATTACTTTTTTCAAAAGCAACAGCTGTGGGACAATACTTAATGGAAATCTCTGTGGTCAATGTTTTCTTCATCAAGCATGGGTGAATGTTACAACTGTACTTCCCTCAACACAGAGGGAGATAGTCTGATCCTTTTTTCGCCTTCAGTGTCTGTTACATATACATTGAGCTGCATAGTTCCTGGGAAGGCTAAAGGATGCCAAGGGAGTGGAAAGATCCAGAATATAAAGGGACAAAGAACATTTTTTGAATAAATTATTAACAATTATAATTTATTGAGCTCTTACCACATGCCAGGTACTTCGTTGCACACTTTACATGAATAATTCATTTGATCAATCCATGAGGCAGGTGCTACTATTATACACAGTTTACAGATGAGAGAATCAAGGGATATAGTTTTAAGTCACTCACCCAAAGGTAACAAAAGTATTAAATATTTGCAGTCAGGATTCAGATTCAGGTGGTTGAGCTCTAGAGCCTATCTTCCTAACCACTATACTATTTAATAAATCCAAAGTCTAGGTAGGTACTGGGATTTACAGAAGTGCTGGGGCAGAATGGAGTGATCTGTTTAGTCTTTTGGGGATGGTTTTTGGAGATGATTTCTAAATTGGAAAAAGGAAAAAGATGTGTTTTGCTGGGCCAAAGATGGAAATATTCTCCATGTATGTGAAAAAAAAATAATCAAAATCAGTAAAACGGAAGTAAAAGGGCTAAATACAGGATGGAGCAAGGTTTTTAGGACCTGTGGAAGTCAATGAACTTGAATAGGTTTATTAATCAGATTCTGTTCCTACAGATGAATATTCGGTGTGGCTCTTTGTAGTGACAATAGGGCTAATAACTTTCCCAAAAAGCATTGCTTCCCCATACAAGTAAGACAAGAGCTAAAAAATTCATTTTGAAATCACTTGGCCTGGGATTGATTCTCAATTTAATCACATATTAGCTGTGTGAACTTGGGCAATGAGGTGAATTACACCTCATCTGTACAATGGTGACAATAATAGTATCCACCTTATCGGGCTGTTGCTGAATGAGATTATGAGATGCTGTTTTTAAAGCCCTTAGCATAGCATTTGGTACATGGCAAGCTCTCCATAAATGGCAATGATTATGAAGAAAGAAGGAGGAAGGGAAGGAAGTGAAAGGGGCAGAGGATAGATAACTTCTATTAAGGCTATTTTAATTTAGGTTGTGGTACATCATAAATATAGATAACAAAATCTTCCTAAAGGGAAAGTTTTAAGGATTTTAAAGGTTATAGTTTCCAAATGCTATAAATATACATCCTTTATAAAATAACTTCCAAATATTTTTCATTTTAAGTCAACTCTATTCAAACAAAAATTGAAATATACTTCCTTCACATGAAGATGTATCCCACTCAATTTCCTACAATGCATAAAGCATTATGATTTTCATAAACACAGTTTTTCTTTTGTCTACAAATTACCATGTCACTTAGTATTCATTTATACTATGTGTCTTAGTCCATTTGTGATACTATAAAGGAATATTTGAGGCTGGGTAATTTATAATTTGAAGCTGTAAAAAGAAGCATGGTGCAAACATCTGCTTCCGGTGAGGGCCTTAGACTTGCTTCCAACCGCGGCAGGAGGCAAAAGGGAGCCAGTGTGTAGGTTTGTAGATATATTGTGAGAGAAGAAACAAGAGAGAGAGGCGAGGGAGGTGGCAGGCTCTTTTAAACAACCAGCTCTATTGGGAACTAATAGAGTGAGAATTCCTTCCTTCCCTCCCCCACACTCCCAAGACCTAAACACCTCCCATTAGGCCCCACCTCTAACATTGGGACTCAAATTTCAAATGAGAATTTAAAGGGGTCGAACATCCAAACTATACCACTATGCTTTGTTACTATAACAGAAAAGACAAACCAATTAAATGTCACAGATAATATGAGATTTAAAAAAAATTGGGCTCAGGTCTAATTTATTTAAAAGTTAAGAGAACAAGGAAAATGAGAGTTAAATAAAACGTTAAGGTCTTTTTACTTATGTTCTATTTTTATTCCATAGCTTTGAGATGTACTTCACATGTCATATAACTTACCCATTTAAAGTATACAGTTTGGTATTTTAGTATATTTATAGAATTATGCAACCATCACCCCATTCTAATTTTAGGATATTTTAGTACCCCAGAAAGAAACTCCATACTCCTTAGTCATCACCCACCAACCCCAATCCTCTATAGATTTATCTATTCTGAGAATTTCACATAAATATTATCATATAACATGTGGTCCTTTGTCACTGGCCTCTCATAGTTAGCATAATATTTTCAAAGTTAATCCATGTTGTAGCATATATCAGTACTTTATTTCTTTTTACTGTTGAATTTCCTTATATGGATTTATCATGTTTTATTTATCCATTCATAAATTGATGAACATTTTGGCCATTTTTAATGATGCTATGAAGATTCTTATACAAGTTTATGAGTATACATATGTTTTTATCTCTCTTGATTATATACCTAGGAGTGGAATTCCTGGGTTATATGGTATCTTTATGTTTAACATTTTGAGAAATTGTCAGACATTTTTCAAAGTGACTTCTTCACCGTTTTACATTCCCACCAGCAATATATGAGGAATTTATTTCTCCATAACCTTCCATATACTTGCTGACACTTATTATCTGCCTTGTTAATAGAAGGTGTGAAGTAGTATCTCATTGTGGTTTTGATTTGAATTTCCCTGACAACTGATGATTTTGATAATCTTTTCATGTGTTTACTGGCCATTTTAATGTCTTGTTTGGACACATGCCTATTTTGGTACTTTGATAATTTTTTACATGGGCTAATTGTCTTTTTATTGTTGAATTGTCAGAATTCTTTATTAATTCTGGATAAAAGTACCTTATCAGAAATAGAATTTGCAAATATTTTCTCCCATTTTTCTTGTTCTTGCTGTATGTTTTGTTAGGATGACTCTGCTTTCTTCCCTCCTGTAGGATAGCAGTGAATCAATCCCTTTGTGTAGTAGAACAGTTAAGCGCATGGACTCTAAAGTCAGGACTGAGTGGAGTGTGAGTTTAACCATTTCTCCTGTTTTGCTACGCAATTCCTTCCACCTTTCTGACACCAAACATCTTCATTTGTAGGATGGCATAAATAATATCAGTGTCTTCCTCATAAATTCGTTGTGAAAATTACATTATTGAATCATGTATAACTTGTATTATAGGGCCTGGCCCATAGTAAATGCCCAATAAATTCTAGCTATTGTAATTATTATAATTTAGTATAGTATACAGATTAATATATTAATAATTAG